TTTTCTACTACCGCGGGTGATAGGCTTAGAGAATTATTTGCGGCTTCGCGCCAGCTCACGTAAGAACCGTTTTTACCGTTAAATTAAGGGACTCTAATGTCTGTATTTGTCTCTTCAGACCGTCAATTTCAGCTATAAGCAGCTATAAGATGTGTTACTAAGTCTGAGGTGAAAGTAGTGTTCTCGTTTGTAGTCATGTTTGAAAATTTCCCTGTTAGTTCTTCCAGATTTAAGGGTGGTTAACAATATAATTTCAATATATTTGAAAAATAAAAAATATTTTCAAAAATTTTTAATTAATTTTTTTAATTCAATAATATAATATTTAATATTCTTAATAAAATTTTTTAATATAATTTTATGTTCGTTTTTTTTTTACGATGGCAATTCGAAAATAATAGTTAACATACAATGACAATAATTCGATTTGGGTTCTTTTATATAAAAACAAAATTTTTTGAAACCTAACTCACGTTTCTCCTGACGATGAGGATACTTGATTGTTGGTGATTGGGTTCTCTGCTGTTCAGGAATCCTTTTCCTCAGCTCCAGTTGGCAGCAAATGAATAATTTATTTGAAGCAGCTGATTATATAAATATAAATATATATATATATATATATATATAAAGTCACTTTCTCGTTAAATTATTTTAATGTCTTGAAAATGGTGTTCGTGACTGTGCGATTCTTTATTATTGAATTTGGCTTTTTGTGATAAAAATTTTTTCGGGTTACTTTTAATTTTTCACCACTTTGTTATTCACTTTATACTCCACCAAATGTTTTATTCAAAAAGCACTTTGATCACTTTCCGAATAACACTTTTCTCAAGGTCCCTGCTCGGGCGCCAATTAATGAGATTATAAATGCGGTTAAATTTTAAAAAAATATTTATTAAATGAATAGCATTTACATGTGACTACGTTCTAACCGTACAAGAATATAATCTAAGTGAGCAATGCTTCTACTTTTATATTCAAATAGTCTGAGCTTACAAATAAAGCTTTTTACTCAAATCTTGCTCAGATCATAACTTAAAATCTATCTTATTCTCTATTATTTTCTCTTATAAATGATTATGTCTTTTACATTTAACCCTACAAAGTGAGAGCGTGCGATAACATGCATTCACTTGTTCTGAATATTCTGTGCTCTCTTTCAATTTTTTTATTAAAGCCAATTTTCAGCACTAATTTTTCTTTTCAACGTACTTCTACTACTCATTTTAAAATAAAAGTATACTTACAATTGTTTTTATTCTAGTTCTCAAATAAATTCTGCAAAATTTTTCACTGTTTTGCACTATTATTTAATATTTATTGTTTAGATGTCTTTTCATTTTTTTATTTATTTACGGACCTATTCTGTGCACTTGACAGATTTGTCAAATTCTTTAATAAAATTTTTGATTTTTATAAAGCAGAAAGCTTTTTGGTATTCTGGACACATCTTGACAAATTTCAAAGCTCAAGTACCTAGTGCTTCTCACCACACTATGGTTTAAAGTGTTTTGTATAGAAATCTGTTCGTAATTGTTCGTAAGTGTTCGTAAAAAATGCTTGTGAGGAGCACAGATATTAAGTTGCCAAAAGCATTTTTCATGCATTCAAATAACAATAAAAAATATGCTTGTAAAGAGCGTATATTTTAGTTAAGAATATTTGTCATGCATGCAAAAAATAAAAAATACTTAAAAAGAGCATATTTTTATAGTTGTCAAGAGCATTTATAGTATTGACAACTAACAAGAAAAAGAGCTTTTTATTTATATCACAGAATACCAAAACCTTTACAGCAGTCAATTTTGATAAATGTCAATGTTTGACAAGTTTATAAGTGCACAGAATAGGTCCGTTAGTTCATATATTTTTGTTATTACTTTTTATATGCACTATTTATAAATTATCTCGCTCGCGATCAGCTTACTTTTAAATTTACACATGTATTAATTTTGTTAGAATTTCACAACTTGCAATAATTTAACTTAACAAAGAAGAGAGAGTAGTGTAGACACAACAACGAAATAAAGCAAAAGTAAAGCAATACAAAAAAAGTACAGATATACTTAAAAACAAAACATGCAAGTATGCTTTGAATACCGCTTGCGTGTACGCAATGCGCATCAACTCCTTTAGTCACGCTTCCTCAGTAAAGGCCTTTTTGAAGTACTTTAACGAAAGGCCTGCGAATTTCATTTAACCTTCTGATGAAATGCTTTTAAAAGGCATTTTTTTGACAAGGCCTTGAAAATTCTGCTACTGGGGAGCCATATATTTTAAGAAAAAAAAAGCACACAAAGCAACACATTCAAATATATTGTCTCAACTACCATACAAAGATATTAAGTAAGTCTGCGATAACAAAGAAGAATAGAAAAAATGTACCAAGAAAACTACTTATGCATGCACTAGATATTATATGTGCATTTGCTCTGATCTTAGAGTTTTTTCTATATGGTTTTGTCCAAGCAAAATACAACATGTTCGCTATTGGCTTGATTGTTGACTTCAATAACAAAATAGCATTGATCATACATGAAATATTCGATTGTTTATAGGTTTGCACAGATATGTTTATACCATTGCGTGGTACCTTTTTAGAATTCATGATTTAACAGAGGCATGTCTTTATATTTCTATGTTTTTAGCAATTCTGACAAACATTGTTAAAAGTCTTGCGTAAGATCTTTGTAAGATCGAACATAAGACCGTTTGTAAAATTTTAACTATTCTCGCACAAAAGTCTTTCAAAAAAAAGTTTTATCATTTGTAATTTGTGGTAGAAAGCTATTTTGTTCTATTTCTTTTGTTAGTAAACAATTGGATTGTAATACAAATATAATATAAATCTAATAGAAATAGAGAGCCGCATATTTCACTTTTATTATTATTTATACATAAATAATTATTTACGGAATTTAACTTATGTCTTAATAGAAATAATAGCAACTATTGCTGCATTAACAACGGCAGTGGCAAAAACAAATTAATTGGTTTTAGGATTATAGTTTAAATATATATGTATATGATAAATAAATAAATTGATGAATAAATCAATGTTTAATAAATAGTACTGAATTTTAAATATATAAAAAAATATATATAGTATATTATACATATATAAATATATAAAAAATTTATTTCAAAATTTTTTTAATGACAGTATTGCATATCAATTCATTTACGTTTGCGTCGTATTAAAATTAAATTAGAAATAATTGTTCAGTTTTTACAAATTTTAAGTTATTAATTCAAAATTTTTGTAAAACTAATTTTTATTTATTTAATTGTATATAAAAAAGTTTGTGCACAAGAAATACAAACAAAATCTTAGCTACAATCGAAAGACCTGATCAACAGCAAGTCTTTCATTTGGTCTTGTGCAAGACTGAAAGCTGTTTACAGTCTTTCACAAGACAACAGCCAGAATACAAAAAATATTTCAAACTATCTTTTGCAAGATTTTTGAGTGTGGTGAGCTGAAAGATCGTTGCCATAATTGCCCCATAAATAATTCCTTTTTTCCTTATGTAAATTATTACCAGAGATCATTAAAAAATTCGTGAAAACATCAACTCTAAAAAACAAGCAGCAGCGGTCGGAGCAGTCCACGGCAATCAACGGCAGTTACACCTTCCGCTAGAAAGACAATAGTTTATACGATAAAATAGTGTATTTGTACAATAAAATAATTTGTACACTGAAGATTGTTTAGGAAGTAGACCGAAATATGCATGTATTATAAATTTCTTTTATTAAATAGTTTAAGAAAATTTTTAGCGCGAATTAATTGTCTCATTATTATTTTCAAGTGTCAAATAACCGATCTTAAGCCCGATAAAAATTTGAAAATCAAATTTTAGTTTAATACAAGACCAGTATAGTAAGAGATAAAATATTGTCAAAATCAATATTAAAATATTTTAAGTATAAAATAGATATACAAAAAAAAAATATTATTTATTGTAAAAATTCAATGAATAAATATAAATTTATTGAAGGTTGATAAGTACGGATCAATAATAACAGAAACTAGTTTTTATAAAATAAACATATTGGATTGTTATATTAAAGAAAATATTTTTTTATTAATTAAATTGTATTTATAATTAAAATGAATTCAGAGTATAAAGTTAAAATATTATACTGTGCGCATTACGTCACTGGCCACATTTTTGTAAAATAAAAATAATAGATTGGTTTGAATATGCAAAATACATTTTTATTAATTAAATTGCATTCATTATTCGTTAATAAATTTGTGTTAAATAATTTAGTGCTACATTATATGCCAGTTTGATCTTTTAATCTTTTTACATTTTGTTATTAGTGTCATATCTATGTATTATATTTTTTATTTAATAGCACACATAGTAAACAAAAAAGCATGCTTTAATACTGAGATTGATTTTGATATATTTATAATAAGAATGCTTACAGTAAAATCAGTCTTTGTTCAACTTCTCATCGCAAAACAAGGTATAACGTAGTGTAGCAAAAAGCTTAATTTTATTTACTGTCAATAATAATTGCAATTTTATATTTATAAGAGATTATGATAATCTCAATTTTTCTCATGCGAGAATGTATCAAAGAACAAGTATCTCTTTACTGTTGGTAGCGCTTTTGGTTATCTTCCATTACACTACAGCAAGTAAGTACATAAAATTCCTTATCGTTTTTTAATGTATATTTAAAAAATTAAAAACGAAATATTATAACAGCAGCATTAAATTGATCTGTACTTTAATAAAATCCTTTTTTGCCATTTTGAGGAAAATCTTTGTTATAAATTTGAGCAACCTATGGTAGAAAAACAATAAAGTAAGTTATTCGTTAATATTTAGAATAATAATCACTTAAAAAATATAAACACAGTTTGAATTTAGATATGGGTATAATTTTTGGGTATGGCTGTTTACTCATTATAATTCAATAAGGTTGAAATGTTTGACCTCTAGACTAAAATTAAATTATAATTAATCGGATTGGAAACGAAGTTTTCGAAATTTAAAAAAATGGGACTTTTTGTGACTTCGAAACCTTCGAATTTTCGGCTTCGCGACTATTATCCGTAATGAAACTATTAGAAGACTTCATGAGGGAATATTAAAGGTAGAATAATAATATAAAAATGTATCTAAAAATTTAACAATATTATTATTTATGTATTTATAAATATATTTTTTTTATTATTGTTATATTATTAATAGAAATTTTGTAAAATATAACGTTTAAAAAAAAAAAATTTCCAAGCCAACACACATTTAATGCATATTTCTAAAAACCACAAATCAATATCCATGAAAAACGGCTTCCTGTAACAGCTGAGATGGTTAAAAAAGATCTTTGCGTATTTACAATATTTGTGGTATTATAAAAGGTATTTTCAACTACTACAAATATTATGTTTCCTTATCGCAATTGTCTTGCCCACGAATCCGTGGAAGCAAACATTTTAATATCTAATAAAAAAATATTTCTATTCAATATATAATTAGAGTTTTCTTTGTTAATTAATTTTACATGTTTTGACCTGTAATAACGTTTTTTTTAAAAGCGATTTATTTTACAAAATTTTTATTATAATAATAATTCTTTTAAAAAATTTTTATTAATAATAATATACACAATAATAATAAGAATAATATATGTATAAATGCATGAATATTAAATATTTATACATTTACTTTATTGGTTTTATTGAAAAAAAAATGTGATTAAATTTGTGTTGACTCCAATTTATTAAATAAATTAATTATAAACTTTTGATTTTATATTCAATTTAATTACCACTGATATACGTTGTACTTATATTATTTCCACTATTTACATTTTCTTTCTTACGTACACTTCCAACGAACTCAACTGCACCACAGTTCTTTTTTCTCTGCCGAACCATCACGCCACTTTTACCATTCTTGCAAAACCAGACCAACCTTTTCTCTCAAAAACAAACAAAACATCACAGTTATCTGATCTTGCAGGTGCGGTTTACAATATTAATCTCACAGTGGCGTGAGTAAAATTAAATAACTTAAGTTATTAAACTTAATAATAAAATAATATAAATATAATAAAAATATAATAATAATAATAATAATAGTATTATTGAATTCAATAATAAATATACACAACAATTGTCAAATTTTCACCTATATTGTTAAATTATATTTTAAATTTTCCTTAACATTATTTCTATTACAAAATTAATAATATTAATATAAATTATTTAAACTCAAATTTTTTATTAAGTTCTTTAAATGTAATAACAAATAGGATAAAACAAATATTGCACACATAATTTTCTGCAATAAATACACAAAATAAAAGAATTTGCTATTGTCAGACAAACTCTTTTATCCATACCAAAATTTGTACCTAATTGTGTGATTCACGTTCATTTGTATGGTGTTCTTTCTTTAATACTCGCTTACGAAATCTTCGAATAGTCACACTAGCTATAACATTTTACTATCAAATATTAGGGGTATTCAGGCAACTGATTCGTTGCTTAGTAGTTGATTACAACAAAAATTTACACACAAAAATGAAACTAAGCAGGGAATCAACTATTTCGGTGATTCTCAGATTTGTACAAATTTGATTAATAGTGCTGCCAGTCCCAAGTGTCGTAATAATAACTTAAAATGAACTTTTGTATAGAAATTTGTTAGCTGTCTCTCTCAGCTGTTTGAATTGTGTGTAAACAATTTTGCAAACACAAGTATGTTTCACTTTTGCTGTTGAAGCGAGTGCTGCCATGGCATTTACACACAACAAACTAATCAAATTACGCATTTTGGGTCGTTCAAGCAACTGATTAACATCAAAATGCTAAATTTTTTAATATGAAGTTTTTGAATCAACTAAACAACGAATCAGTTGCCTGAATACCTCTATTATTTTGAGTCTTAAAAAAAATTTTCTTATAGTATGGTATAAATAGAGTATGTATATTTTCATTTTCTTTTTTATATTGCAATAGATTCATTCGGAGAATGTAAAACACCTCATGATGATTATGGCACATGTATAAAGTTGACGGACTGTAAAATTTTAATTGATCTTATTGTTGATCCCTCAACATCGGAAGCAGATAGAGACTATATAAGAAGTAGTCAATGTGGTAAAATTGGAAATATTATTTTAGTACGTATATACTTGAAAAATCATATATATATACATATATATTTAATTTCTTTCCTTCTTCTGTCAAATTTTGGCTTTTTTTGGAATAGATTTGCTGTCCAAATTCGTTAACTACAAACTTATTACCAAGCTATCCCAACTGCGGTAAACAGCTCACAGAACGAATAGTTGGTGGTAATATTACAAAACTTGATGAATTTCCATGGATGGCTTTAATTACGTACACAAAACGTAAGATTATTTGTCAAAATTTTCTAACAGTTCACTAAATTAATTATAGCATGTACTAGCTAAACTTTTATGTCAAGGGGAGAAATTATGCAGAAATTCGTCGTAGTTGTTTTGGCAGTTCATTATTATCAGAATTAACAGCAGTTTAATGATAAACACATCCATAACTATATAAATATATTCATACAAAAATACTGGTGTTCTTTTTGAGAGCTTTAATTAATACACCGCGTGTTCCAAAACGAAAACTAATTTTTCTATAATTTCGTTTTTTAATTATTTTTGAAAGTTAACTTTCTACGTTTTAATATCTTATTTTCCAATTAATATAAAAACAAAAGTATACCAAATTATAAATTTTTGTTTTGTAAAGGGAGGCTATTACTTTGATTCTCCGAAACATACAACTGATACATTAAAATTTAAGAACCATATTTGAATATGAATATTTTGTATGGATTGTAATAAAAGAAAATTTCCACATTATCTTACCATCTATTAAGGACGTGTGCGAGTTGTTCTAATTTCATGCTAAACTAAATAGGATTTTCCTTGTGATTTTTTGCACTGCATACATTTAGCAACAAAGTTCAAAAAAGGGTGCGAGTTGCATTTTGACAGCCAATATGTTTTTCAATATATTTTCAAAATTATACACACGTCAAAAATTACCAAAACAATATTGTCAAGTCAATAGGCCTATTTACACAATCATGAACATGAACATGAACTTGAAAACCGGTTGTTTATTGATGAGAGAGGGAAGAGAGTGTGATGTAAGTGCATGAATTTCATGAATTTTGCTACGGTTCTTCAGCTTGACTCATATACATATGCAATGTTATGTTTATATTTACCTTTTAATGCTGAATATTCTCACTTTCTCTGCTGTGCACTACTACACAATAGCATTTCATTTAGAAATAAAATTATTCATCGGCTAACAGACAAACCAAATTAAAAAGCTTTTATTTAAAAATTTTCAGCATATATTTCGTTTTGTTTTTTAGAACTTCATCAAATTTATACAAATTGTATTTTAATTTATTATTATTGTGACATTACGGTTGTTTTAAAATAATGTTTTTAACGTTTTTGAAATAATTAATATTATATTTAATGTTTACGGTGTTAAATTTATAAATGTTTTGGTCATTTAAAAAAAAAAAATTTAAATAAGATTCTTTTTGCAAAAATGAAGCACTCATGAAGTTCTAAAAAACAGAACGAAATATATGCTGAAAATTTTTAAATAAAAGCTTTTTAATTTTGTTTGTCTGCTAGCCGATAAACAATTTTATTTCTAAATAAAATGATATCAGATGATAAAAATACAAACACAAAAAAGCATTTCATACGTTTACACAAAACAAAACAAATTTCACGATCATAAGAGTTCATGATAGTGTAAACTGAACCGACAGTTCATGTTGTCGTTAAGTTCATCTCACGTTCATGCTAGTCTATTGGTTCTATTAAGCCCAATGAAAAGAAATCCACTTAATATTTTTGGAAATAAAAATTTATCAAATAAATGTTTATAATATAAACAATATAAATTTTAGAAAACACAAATATTTACATAATTTATTATAAATACTCATTAAATAATGAAAAATACATATAAAAACAGTTAATTTTTCGATTAAAAGTTTTCTAATAACGATGATTTTTTAATACAAAATTAATTATTTATTATTGTCATTTCTTATATTTTGATTCACTTATTTGCAGCTTTAACATTGAATTTTAGTGTGAGATTTAAGTGGCCAACAACGAGCACTTAAGGGTTCTGTAAAAATCTGCTGACATGCGTAAAATTCATAAAAGTTTCAATTAGATATGAAATAGAAATTTTTTTTAGAACTTTGGTAATTTTAAAAACTATTTCAATAGTATCGGCATGATAAATTAACTTAAATATGTTTCAATATTTTAAGAATATTCTGAATCATTTACATTATTGAATTTTTTAAAGAGCTTATTTCAAGCTCTAGTTGGTTGCATTTGCTACATTCGCTTCTCATATTCTGCCTTCATAAAAGCTAGCTTGGACTTTTATTCGGTCCACATTCTTTTTGTTTCTGCAAGAGTAGACCATGAAAAAACTTTTGCAGTCCTCTTCAGTCCTTTTAAATTACGGTGAGATGGTTTTTTTTTAAGTTGGCGTAAAGCTTTCCCAATTGTTGTTCACTAGAATTAATAAATATAAATAATGATTACAGGGTTTTCGAATAGCAAAGAAAGAAATAACACTCCCAAAAATTTATTTAATTATATTGAAATTTGGCTGACCATACAACGCTGTTTCGAGTATTGCCAAGTATTCATCATCAGTGGTCTTAGGAAATAATCGAATTTTAATTAGTTAGTATTGTTGTGAAGTTTAAAATAAGTACTCTTCATGTAACTCTTATAAGTAAAACTCTTATACATATTCTATATTTCACATTATTGTATTGCATATTATAATATAATAAAGACAGTCCTTACTAAACAGTAAATGGTGTCAGGTGTGTGCCTTAAAAAAATAAATAAACTATAGTTATTTTGAAATAAGTATAAAACTTAAAAGCGAAGAATAAATAAAAAGACATTTATTAAAAAAAAAAAGTATTAAAATTAAATTAATCAAAATAATAATTAATTTAAAAAAAAAAAAACAAAAATGGAGAATGAGTCCAAAGCAACAGTTCCACAACAAATAGCAACAAACCAACAATTCATGTCGATAGCCACAACCATTGCTCCAATAAATTTGAAGTCATCGAATTTGTCAGTGGAGTGGACCAGATGGAAGACGCAATTCACGATTTTCTTACGTGCTTCAAATCTGGAGGAGCAGGGTGATAAACGCCTTGTAGCTTTGCTTTTGCATCATCTTGGGAGTGAAGCAATGGAAATTTTTAATTCATTTAATGTGAATTTGGACTCTATTGCCTACAAAAATCTAATTGAAAAATATGATGCCTATTTTATTCCAAAAGTAAATAAAGCAATAGAACGTCACAAATTTTTTATGCGCAAGCAAGAAAATGATGAATCATTAGATGAATATATGACGTCATTGAAAAATTTAAGCAAAAGTTGTGAATTCGGATCTTTGCAAGAAGAATTAATAAGAGATATTTTTGTATGTGGATTATCATCTAAATACATTCATATTAAAGAAAGACTATTGAGCGAAGGTAATATTTCGTTAAACAAAGCTATGGATATTGCAAAAGCAATAACAATGGCAAAGGAAAATTTAAGTCAACTTGAAGGGGATAACAACAACACCACTAATTTTGTTGGAGCTTTACGGTATCAACATAAAAAAAATACCGCAGATAAGCCAAATTATAATTATCTTCGATCAGAATCATTGTCATATTCAAAACGTGGTAATCAACAAAACTACAAAGCTACAAATTTCACAAATTACTGTAGTCGTTGCGGTCAGCAGCATAGGAACCGTTGTCCAGCAGATGGTGTGATTTGTTATATCTGCCAAAAACCAAACCATTTTTCGAAAATGTGTCGCAGCAATATAAAACAACAACAATTTTCATCAAGCAAATATGTAAAACAAATCAGTGCAGAAGACGACGACGTAGAAGATTTGTTTATTGGAATTTTACATACAACAAACAATAAAAACGAGTCCATAAAAAACAGTAGTGCAGAAAAAATAGAAACTGTACAAAATAAAATTTGTGAATGGAGTATTGAGACTATAATTAATAACAAAAAAGTTCTCTTTCAAATTGACACTGGAGCACAAGCCAATATATTATCAATGCACACTGCAAATTATTTAAATATTGATTTTTGTAATAATGTACATATTAGTAATACAAACATATTAACTTTCAGTGGCGAAAAGTTGCCTATTGTCGGCAGTGTGAATTTGAAAGTGAATTTTAAAAACAATGTATATGATTTGCAGTTTTTTATTGTAAATATGAAATGTAAAAATATATTGGGGTTAAGTTCAGCAATAAATATGAATATTGTAAAGTATATAAATGCATTATTTGTAGATAAAATTTTTGAAAATTATAAAGAAATTTTTTGTGGTTTAGGAGAATTAAAGAATAAATGTGAACTAACTATTAGACCGGAAATCACTCCAGAAATTGATCCTCCAAGAAAGATTCCTTTTGGTTTATATGATGATTTAAAAAAAGAATTAATAAGAATGGAAAGTTTAAATGTTATTACTAAAGTTAATGAGCCGACTGAATGGGTCAGTTCTATTGTACTTGTAAAAAAACCAAACGGCAATTTACGTGTATGTTTGGACCCAAGAAATTTAAACAAAGCAGTCATGAGACCACATTATCCATTTCCAAATGTAGACAATTGTAAAACGCAACTAAGTGGTTCCAAATATTTTAGTTCTCTTGATGCTAATTGTGGTTTTTGGATGATTCCATTAACTAAAAATTCATCTAAATTATGTACATTTAATACGCCTTTTGGGCGATACAGATTTTTACGACTACCATTTGGAATAAATGCTGCTCCTGAAATATTTCATAGCGAAATGGTCAAACTGTTTGGTGATATTAATGGTCTCATTATTTATATAGACGATTTTTTAATACATTCGCCTACAATTGATGGTCATAACAAAATTTTAAAAGAAGTTTTAGATAGAGCAAAACAAGTAGGTCTTAAATTTAATAAAGAAAAATCTAAATTCTGTACAAATGAAATCAAATTCATAGGTCATATATTCAACGCAAATGGAATTATTGCTGACCCCGAAAAAATTAAATCAATTATAAATTTACCGACACCTAAAAGTGTTTCTGAATTACAACGATTTTTAGGTATGGTGAATTATTTAGGTGCATACATAAATAATTTCTCCTCAAAAAATAAACATTTGCGAGATTTATTAAAACATAATGTTCAGTGGCAATGGAATGAAATTCATAATCAAGAGTTCAAAAATTTAAAATATGAATTAACCAAATCTCCAGTTCTGACTTATTTTAATCCAAAAAAACCAATTACTCTTACAGTAGATGCATCTAAATTTGCAGTTGGTGCAGCTATTTTACACGATAACAATCCTATTGCGTACGCCTCAGCGTCACTGACAGACACTCAAAGAAACTACGCTCAGATTGAAAAAGAGCTTTTTGCAATTTTGTTTGGTTGTACCAAATTTCATGAATATCTTTATGGTTTAAAAGTTTTAGTTGAGACCGACCACAAACCACTTGTATCATTGTTTACAAAGCCATTATACAACATTCCTGCCAGGTTACAAAGATTTATGCTACGTCTACAGTGTTATGACCTAAATGTTCAATATAAACCCGGAAAACATCTTTATATTGCAGATACGCTTTCTAGAGCACCACTCAGAGAACACGCTTTAAATGAAATTGATAATGATTTGTCACTACATTGTGATTTGTTAATGAAAAGTATAAATTTATCTGATAGTCTTCTTAGTGAAATCAGGGAAAACTTAATTAACGATGAATCACTGCAAAAAGTGATTTCGTATATCAGAAATGGTTGGCCTTCCAATAAAAAATTAGTTGATACACTGGCTATGCCATATTATAACATCAAAGATGATTTGTCTTTTATCAATCAACTTTTATTAAAAAATAATCGTATAATTATACCACATCAACTTCGTCACAAAACATTAAATAGTCTACATGAAGGACACATGGGAATTCAGCGTTGTCAGAATTTAGCTAAAAGTTCTGTTTATTAGCCAAATATTAATCACGATATATTTAATTTAGTTTCTAGTTGTGAAATTTGTGCTAAATACAAAAATTGCAATGGCAAACAAGAGCTACTGCCTCATGATATTATAGAGTTGCCTTGGTATAAAGTGGCTTGCGATATTTTTGAATTTGAAAAGAAACAATATCTTTTGGTTGTTGATTATTATTCAAAGTACATTGAAATTGATATTTTAAACATGGGTTACTCTAGCAAGCATGTCATTACAAAATTAAAATCTATTTATGCCAGACACGGCATTCCTAAAATTTTTGTTTCAGACAATGGCCCTCCTTATAATTCAAAAGAATTTAATCAGTTTTGTAATGATTGGTCTATTGAACACATAACATCGAGCCCTCATTTTCCGCGATCTAACGGCATGGCAGAGCGTTCCGTTCAAATTGTAAAAAAATTATTGATAAAATGTAAAGAAACAAATTCAGATTATTACACAGCGTTATTGCATTACAGAACAACTCCTAAAGGTAATTTACCTAGTCCTAGTCAATTATTGATGTCACGTCAGTTAAGAACAAAATTACCAACTATAGATACAAATTTAGAACCAAAAATTGTGAATAATGAAAAGTACAAGATTCAAGTTGAACAAAATAAAAAAAAAATGTCTGAAAATTTTAACAAAAAAGCCGTCAAATTACAACCAATTTTTCCAGGTGAAGATGTCATGTTCAAGCGTACACCACTTTCAGTTTGGTATCCTGCAACAGTTGTAGAAAAATGTAAAGAACCAAGGTCATTTTTGGTAGAAGACAATGATGGAGTGATTTATCGAAGAAATAGAGAACATTTAATGAAAAGACAAAGTGTTTTAGACAAAATAGATGAAGAACGAGAGACTGTAAATCCAAATCAAAGTCCTGTTATAGATTTAAATTTAAATAATGAAAAAAGTGCAAATCAATATGTTACTCAAAGGGGAAGAAATGTGGTAGCACCTAATAGACTAAAATATGAATAATATGAAGATTAATATATGAATATAAAAAATTTGCTATTGCATTATTATATTGTATATACTTATTATTATATTATTAAAATATACTAAAATATGAATCATAGGTTTAATATTATATTATTATATTGTATATATTGTGTATACTTATACTTATTCTTATATTATTAAAATAATATTAAAATAGACTAAAATATGAATTATAGATTTAATATTAATATAAAAAAAAAAAAAGAAAGATGTTGTGATGTTTAAAATAAGTACTCTTCATGTAACTCTTATAAGAAAAACTCTTATACATATTCTATATTTTACATTATTGTATTGCACATTATAATATAATAAAGACAGTCGTTACTAAACAGTATAAGTATATAATTTGTTTGGACTGCACGTACCAGGATTAGAACTTGTGCCTGTCAAATTAGAAGCGATGACTGATCGTATTTATCCACAAGTAGCCAAGGCTGTACAAGCTTTAGGTGCTCTAGTTCCAAGTTTTTTGTCACTTTTTTATTTAATTAGTGACATTCACCAAAGCACTTACCGTGATTTAAATTAGAAAGAGCTTATAAACTACAGCTTTATTTGGAAACGCAAGTTCAACGTTGTTTTTGCAGAGACATTTGTTATGCATATTTTTTACTTACTATATGTAAAGCGTCTTTCTGGTGCTTTTTACAAAGAAGGAGCCCCGTTATCCACTGTTTTTGAAAATTTAACAATAGAAAGGTTTTCGAACCGCTGAAGTATATAAAGAACTTCATGTGACACTTTATTTGTTTTTTCCAGTATTGCCATATTTTACATAATTACAAACTTTCATTAAATCTTTGTATTGTAAAAACCGTAAACACTTAAGGACTGAAATAAACTTAAACTATATTTAACTTAAGTGTTCTCTAAGTGTACATTGTAAAACTGGTCCTTATTTTCACTTTTTTATTTATTAAACATCTTATGAAAATATTAAAGTGACAACTCTGGTGATTTTTCTATTTTGGCTCAATTTAGTTACGTTGAAAATATTCCAAATACCAACATTTCACTACATTATCGGTAGAATTTGGAATTTCCCTAAATTAGAACGCAAATTAGACCAACTCGCACTCGACCTAAATAAATAAGTCAGAAAAAATGAAATGCAACAGTTATTACTTTCATATACTTTGTCATATACTTTGCATGGGTCTTTACAGTAGACCCATCTATAATAATTTATGAACAGTGGATATTTTGACTTTACGTTTGCGCTGGATTGGATTTATGCAATAAATATTTGATAATTTTAGAAAATCTGTCTACTCATTTTTAATGATTTATATACCAAAATATTCTAGAATATGTATATTTTTCAAAAAAATACCGTGCAACATTGTACCCTTTCGTAAAATTTATAATTAATTTAATATTATTATTATCCCCTTAACACAGAATATAATTGCCAATAAATACCTTTAAGAGAGTTCTTTATTAAACTTTACAGTGGTGGTGAGTTTTTAGCATTGTACAGCTTTTCACCTTAATATGTTATTAGAATGGTGTTAGTTAACATACATTTTTTTTCGTAAAAAAAACACTTTTTTAAATATATATAATTAAAAAATGTGCTGCTCGATTTTTGTAAAATTAGTTTCGTTTGAAAGAGTGATCAATCTAGTTTTAGGAACTTTGAGCATGCAGGTTGTACCTCCTTCGAAATGTAAATAAAATGCAGTTAGATCGGAACATGTGCAAAATGTGCACTTATTTCAATAATATATATATTTTAGTTAAGATATTGAAATGAATCTTATGTACTCGGTTTCATTATCATTTTTTTTATACTTTTTCGTTTTACATTTTTTAAAAAGCTTGAAGCTATGACGAGTATAGAAATTTAACTTTGACATCAAATTTCTCAAAATTGGTCTACTAGATTTTTATGTTTTTTTTTGCTATTGATAGCTTGATTAATTCTCTATTAGATGTATTTGCGTGCAATATTGTACCTTTTCTAGATTTTTCTAAAAATAGATTTTTTCAAAAAAAGTCGATTTTAGTCAATTTTTATTTTCGCTATAATCTGAAAAAATACGCATCGTATTTGAAATTGGTAAATACCAATCGAAAGATCTAACAAAACTCTATAGGAAAAATGGTTTTTGTTTTAGTTTAATTATATTAACGAAAAGATCATTTTTTAAGAATTTTTTGAAAATACAGCTTTTCATTTTCTAGCAACGTTGCTAACTTGGCTCTAGCCTAATTTTGCCGT